ACTATAGTATAATAGGCCCCCAAACCTTAGCGTAATTATTCAAGCCCCTACATTATTCGCCGGATTCGTCCGCAGGTTGCAAACTTTTCTCTAAAGCCGCTGAGGCATAAATGTCCTGTCTGATGCAGGACGCCTTGTTGGTTCATCCGCAGCGTTGGCAGAAGAGCTTGAATTCGCCAGACATACAACCTGACTCCAGGCACATATTGGCAGCCTATCGAAACAAGTGAGAGGTTCGTCCAAAGCAAACTGGGACGTACAATCTTTCGGCTTCAGAATCTCTGCAGATGTGCCTGCAAGTAAACTCCTTGAATTTGTGCAACTGAAAGATGTCCGCCGTCATGCCTACCGAAAGCAATGAAAATGCGCTACTGATCTCGGTAAGGTGTGCTTTCGAGGACTACTGAAAGCATTGTGAATGCGCGAGTTTCCCCCTTGTGCAAGTGCTTTCGACGATCCAGGATGAACACGAGAGTTGCTGCAAACAGGAAATCTCGACAAAAGTTAAACTCTCAATCCCACACCTTGTGGAAAGCTAGGACCTCTCCTCTAATCCTTCCAGCATGGGGCATAACAACCGGACTTGTTCTAGAAGGATTGCATTGCTACGGCTTCAGAGTCAAGCGGAAGAGCTTGGTGAGGGTTGGGAAGCATGCAAACGTAAAGGTATGGGCTGGAGGGCTTCTGTCTGACTGACAAGCTGAAGGATGCCGGAGAAGTTCATCTGCAGCTCCTACCGCATAACCCCGGATAGCTCGTCTAAGGATCAAACGCGGATTCGGACTTGGGTACTTCGAGAGGCTACAGGACTAGCATTGGTTTCACTGAAGCGTGGGCAGTCCAAGCTTGGCATAGGAGTTAGACTAGCAGAACGGCAAAGTTTATCAAGCAGGCTTGCTTTTAGGAATATATGTAGACTTTACAAAATGTGGGCTGCACATCAGCGGCTTTGGTCTTGTAGTGCGGCTCTCAGCAAGCTGGGTAGAGCGGCCTGCCGTCATCGCACGAGCAGGATGAAAGATGCTGCAGCCTATACAAGCCGCACTATCTACAGTATACCCGAGGACAACGCCGAATCGGCTTCTTCTAAGTCGTATCAAGATGGACGCCGGGGCTGTGCTAGCTCGAAGCTTTCGTGATCTCCAACCCTGCTGAACCTTACAATGGCCCGGTCTATCTATCATGAGTAATGATATGCCGGGTGCTACTTTCGTGCTTCTTCTCCTTGTGGATGCTCACATGGCTAGTACCGCTCTTCAGCCTTACAAATGGTCTTTGTGGGGCTCAAAAGCGCAGCCGCCTCAGAAATCTAATCCTGCATAATGCGGGCCTAACCAGGGCACCAAACAGACCAAACACAAGGCCAAAAAAACCATGATCATGTGGAGGCCCAAACCTTTTGTAAACGTTAGCAGCAGATGAAGATCGCATCCTTCAGCTGAAGCTTCGGCCGCTTTCATGAAAACAAGAAAGCTCCGTAACATCGAACCCGAGCCGTGTGTTCCTGGTACAACACCTTGGGCGCCAAAACGTTAGCTAAGATGTTTGGACGAAGTAATGCAACCGAGAGCATGTCTACTAGCAACAAGAATGGTACGCTGACTCACCAACAAGATGAAGAGTAAGGGAAGATGAAGACTGACGCAATGAGCAGTTGTGACCCTAAACCCTCAACTGCAAGCCCTGGACACCCAACCGCAAACCCAAAACACTGAGCACCCGAACCCTAGACTGTGAACACCTAGCCATACCAAGCCCTACAACCGAATCCTGAACTCAAGACTCGACATCTCTCCAATACAGGCGCCTTGATGGCGAGAGCAGGGTTCGCCAGAGCTCTGTAGTATAACTTACATGTAACACTGCGTATCCGGATGTTATACTCTGTAACACCATAAAGAACCACTTTACGAAGCCCTTCTGCAACCCTGTTCTCGCTGTCAAGGACCCTACATTCAGCCCTTGCAAAACC